ATAATATATTACATTTCTGACTGTATATCCCTGTAATTATTACACACTGTAGCTTTAAGTTCTGGATAGAGAATATTGACAGACACAATTTTTTTTCTTATCTGAAATGCAACATTTTTATATATCCTCCGAGTAAATTTAAAAGAGAAATAACAATATCAAATCATTATTTCCTAATTTCGTTGCAAAGTTACACCAGATAATTGAAATGCAAAGCATTTATAAGGTAAAGGAAATTTCAAACAAAGGTTTGCACTTTTGAATCATCAACAGCAGACTGTGAAATAAAAGTTTTTTTTTGTTTTTTTTTAGAGTCACAGCAAAGACAACTTTTGGATTAACTGTTCCCATATTGCCAGATCTTTGTCCACCTTAGCAGAATCCCTAAACTTCTAGAGCCTCACACTGCCATAGACACTCACAGACACACTCAGGTATTCTTTCTTACCTGATGCTGCTCATGCTGCCCGCGTCTGATCCCAGCTTACATCTCTCCAGCTGCGTGGCGACAATCTGACGCTCAGCTTCAAGTTCTCTGGTTAGACGTTCAAACTGAAGCTCCTGATGAAAAAGAAAAACAAACCCTTACATGAAATTCAGCAAACAAAGTAATTTTAGGGATATCATCAAGTACATTTCACATCACATTTAGGCTGAAGTGAAGAAAGAGCTAATAGCCTGAAAAACAATTATTTTACAAAGGCTCCCTTATGTGAAAAGGGTTTGCTGTTTGTTGAAGATAATGTTCTCAAAAGTACAATTTAAGACATTTTTTCACTTAAATATTCAACTGTTCCATGAACAAAAATATCATCTGGTCATTGAGGTCTTAAAAATATAAAACAATAAAACAATAAAAAAAAAACACTCTTTCTGCAACTTAAAAGGTCATAAAGTAAAAAAATATATATTCTGGTTATAAAATGTGCTTTATTCATCTAACCTCAAAAAACCTAAGCTCCCTTATGAAATTATATTTTAAAGTATTTTTAGGTGTGTTTTTTTAATAATTTAATTTAAAAAGAAAAACATCCCCAAAGGACCAAGTTTCAGTTTTTATTGACCATGAATGTAGGAGATGTTACAAGAGTCTGCAAAAAGTTACAAAGTTACAAAAAGTTTGACGTGAATATTGAGGTTCACACCAATATGCAATATGCAAATATCAAAACACACCAAATATATACAAAGCAGGTGACTGAATGATTAGAATAATCATTTTATAATCCAGATGTCATGGGTTTTATTAGCTCCCCCTTGCCATTGGTTGGTGTGCCCCTAGGCAAGGCACTTAGCACCAAGTTGCCTACCAGTATAAAGAGCAGTGCTAATGTTGGTTTCAGTTTGTCTGAGAGGCAGGTTTGATTAGAGAAGTCTCGTATAAATTTAGTCCATTTACCATATTCTAAATTTCTAACTAAGTTTTTTTCGTAAGTCATTGTTTGCATGTACAGTATTTGGTTTGGCGAAGTTGCATCTGATCACATCTTATTCGTTAATATATTCTAAGATTAGACACTGTATAACATGTGATGGGCCTTTTTTTTACCTACGTAATTTCAGAAACTGACAAACAGCAAAATATATTGTTTCTGTGCTGTGATGCATAAAACCCTACAACCTGAATTAATTCAAGGGAAGTCAAAGGGCAGTTATTGTGCCATAGGAGTTAGAATAATGCATGGTGTTACTATTCTAGCAGGAACGTTCTAGAGGGTGGATTGTAATAGGAAGCATTTGCTGACCAAGGGATTTATTTATTGAATTGACTTTCTAAAAGGTCACTTTTTACCCATAACCCTCTGTAAATGCATAAGTGCATATGTAAAATGAAGCATATACTTGTGAACTTAAGAACCGTGTGAAGGTGGATAAAATGCAGGAAACTGCACCACACTAAAGATGTTTTAGATAGTAATGGTACATGTGTAAAAAAAAAAATGTAATGCAGATGATCGAGAGAGAGTAAGAGACAGTAGATTGCTTTTTGTTGTATTTTAGTCATTTGAACCTCTGATTAAAGGGATCCTGCTTCACTATCTTGATATTTCAAACTAGACACATGCCCCCCAACACAACACAGCCCCATGCCTACCATTTCCTTCTCAGTTTTTCCCTTGAACCTTTTTGTACATGTACTTTCATCAGCAGTTTACTCATAAATATGCACACTCCTATTTTCTGTTTTCAAATCAAATTCACAATTGCTTGTGCCCAATTAAAACCCCTACAAGAACAATAAGCATTGTGCACTAGTGTTATGCAGTGGTGTTTTAAGCTCATTGGTTCACTGCTTATGAGATGTAAGATAACACAGACACTAATTAAAAACAATATCTCACCCCATGAGATGACTGGTGTTACACGGTTTATTACAAGTCCTTCTGTCTTTCTCCTTGCTTTCCTTTGTTTATTGTTTAGGAAATGTTGCATCAGTTTCACAGCTTTAAATACAGCAAGATAAATCTCAAACATGTGAATGAAGAAGCAGTTCCAAACCTTACTTCATTTTTTTTTTTAGTAAGTACGCAGAGAGATTGAATGGGCTCTATTACACCCTTGGGACCTTCATGTCTGAATTACAGCTTTGTTTTAAAGAGAGCTTCCTTCCTTCAAAGCTCTGGTGTGCTTCTCAAAGCATGCTGCTTTGTCACCTGGTTTGCGACAGTCACAAATTATTTAAATCCTCAAAGTGTAAAAATGCAAATCCCTGAACCCAGAGTGCCATTATGCTAATTGATTATTTATTATGCCTCAGTGATAAAAAATATTAACTAGCTTTTAAAGCAACAAAGAAATGTCTGGAATAGATCTGTAACATAGTGGGCAAGTTCTGCATTGGGGAGAGCTGTCCAGTTTTACATAACCTTTCATCAAGAGCTTTATTAATTTTAAAGACTTAAAACAAGAAAATGTCCCACTAGTCATTTATCATAGCAAATGAAGATAAATGGCTAGTGAATAATACTTATTTTGTGAACCTGGCAATAAATAATCCCAGTATTTCTGCTAGAAGTGTTGCATTTTATCAGAATCATAAATACTTTAATAATCCCAGAGGGAAATTACTTACTAATTACTTATGTTTATATGGCACTAAGAACATATAAGCCATGTCTAAGTCTTTGCATTTAAATTAAGATAAATTGGAAAAATCTGATGCAACATTTAAGATAGTCAGGATAGCAAAACTGTAATACATTGCTCTATGACTGCGATCAGAATGACACAACTCCCCTAAATCCAAGGTTGGGTACCTGACTAGACTCCCTTGTCAGACATTTTGACATATACTTTTCCAGAGAGGCCTGAGAGTGTCATCCAAAGTTGAATAAATAACTTACGAGTTCCTTGAGGAGCTCAGAGTAAATCTCATCCTCTTCAGGTCACTGCCACTGTGAATTTGTTAAAATACCTCCAAACCCTCATCCCCAATGATAGGCAGTCTACTTTAGACTTTGGTTTCTTTTCAATAGGAAAGGTTTATGTATCAGATTGAGATTCATACCTCATTCAACTACACTGCCCTAAATAATTATAGGAATCACTGTTAAAGATCTAGTTAATAACCTTGAAATAATTTACTATTTTGTTATTGGAGTATAATCTCTAATCTTACAATAACATAATAATCTTCACAATACTAAACGTTTTTACAAGGGTACAAAAGTGTTTGCCCCCCCTTGTCCAAATGTGTACATAAAAAGGGTGATAAGAGCTAGTGTTTAATAAAATAAATAATGAAAACAAGTCAGAACAGTCTGATCATGAATCCTTATGAGTTATCACAGTATGGCCAAAGGATAAAATGATTGCTCTTGTGCTATGCATCAGACTTATTCTCTTAGGCAAATAAATTACCCTACAAAATAAAAAGAACTCATGGATAACCAGTCACATTCACAAAATCAAACATCCAGGTAGTCAGGTGGTATTAAAAGCATCAATCACTTAGCACTGTTTTCTAAGGGAATACAGCCGCTGACATTGTTATTAGGTTGTAACGTGTTGTTAAAATTTATCAAAATTTACATTATAAAACTACTCCCCTGTTGACTTGATTCAGGACTTTTGCAACATGACAGTTAATGCAAGGATAGACCTTCTGAGAGATCACCTATGGGGATAGTCCTGAGCGGAGAGAAGCAGAGTACAAAGAACGCTGAGCCCCAAAAACACAGCATGGTTGGACAGATCAGAAACAATTTGGGTGAGCGTAAAACACATTTCCAGTGACATCCAATATCCTCTCAGGACTCAACCTTAAACCTACAGTAAAGGCTTGTTCAGTTGTAAAACATTTACATTTCAGGTGTAGGTTCATTTTTTGTGACATGGACAGCACACTATTTGCAGCATTTTATTCTCTATGGGGTTTTCTCCCTCTGTACCCAATATTCTGGCCACCTCTACTGGGGATTGTGAGGCAGCTCCCAGATTTAAAAGAAGGAAGACTAAACTTTACACAGGACCATACTGCACAGCTGTATTTTTACATCCCTAAACTTTTTGCAGTTTTATTATATTTTTTTTTCTCCACACAAAAAGTAAAAAAATATTTTGGTTTTAAGACATGATTAACCAGGAGTACCAATATATTCAATTGCTGCAGAACCGCAGCTAAAGTCCACAGCACTCTATCCCCATACAAACAAATTAAGTATTCTTTCTTTCGCTCTACCTGTTCCATGTGATAGGAGGAGCGACTATAAACATTAAATGTTAATAAACATGTAATGACAGGCTACGAAGACTGACCATGCAGAACACATACCTGCATTTTTGCTTGTATCAATGCTAAACTAAATATTTCCCTGGCATTCCAGCATTGCTTTAGTTTACTCTGGGAATGACACAAGGCGGCCGGACCAGATTCAACCCTGGTCACAGATCTGGATTCCCTGGCATGGTTGGCTTCAGTGATGTTTGCAGGTTTTAAATCAACTTAGGTTGATAAACCTAAATTACATTTGTTTCCAAAATGCGATTCACGTGTCTTATTAAATGGCATTTCAAAATAAAGACTGAGCTCATTAAAGAATAGGAAGTAACTTGCCACAGCCTTTTCGAGGCTTTAGGTGGGCATGGGTGGGTGGATATTTTACCTAAGATATACAATCCTGATATTGTTGTTATTAATATTCCAATTTCTTTTTTAAAGCTTAACAAATAGATAAAAAAATGACAGGAAATGAAGGTATTAAGTTGTTAGTCTGGAAGACACAGATGTATGGATAACTAAGACAAAACCTGTGAGGTTAGACACCAGCAAAATTTAAGGAATTTCTCTTGTTGCTCATCAGTTATTACATGGATATTATAAGCATAATAAAGCAATTTGGAGTGAATTATTTCTGATGAGAAACATAACTCCTCTTCCCAGAAGTAAATTATCTTAGTCAGTTGTTCTTGGGCTCACATAGTGCAATTTTAAGATAAGTAGTAAATAAATAAGAAACTAAGCAAGTAAATAATTATAACTTAAGTTGAAAGTTACTCATGGTAATCTACTGGTTTATTTAAAGAGGATTTGAAAAGATTTTCCTCTTTATTTCCTTTTT